CCAAGGGGAACAACAACGGGTGGGGTGGAGGGGCGGAGAGCGGTTCAGGGGGGTGGAAGGATGCGCTGTGGTCGCCAGCGAAGCTTCTGGACGCATTCGTGACGAGCCTGTCAATGATCCTCGTCAGCGAGGTGAGTCGCGTTTGTGATGTGAGACACCTTAGGTGGCTGGGAGGGGATCCAAAGGGAGCAGGGAATCTCTTGGGAGGATGCGCTGTGGTCGCCATTCAAGCTGCTCGCTTTCGTGACGAGCCTGTCAATGATCCTCGTCAGCGAGGTGAGTCGCATTCAGCGAAGAATCCAGGGAGGTGGCATGGCAGGATGCGTCGTGGTCCCCTGCGGTGCTGAAGGGTGGCTTTCTGGCGAGCCTGTCCACGATCCTCGTCAGCGAGGTGAGCCGAGGAATGGAAGGAAGAAGACGAATGAAAAGAAGGGATTGGAGGATGACACGAGGAAGAAGGCGAATGAAAAGAAGGGATTGGAGGATGACACGAGGAAGAAGGCGATGCTCTGTGGTCACGTTCACCCTATAGATTCTGATCCTCCTTCACCCGATTGACTACAGATTTGATAAAATGTTTATCCTGGCAGCCCTGATGGCCGTCCGCCACCATTCCCCCCAGCATTCAGGTAGGTACCAGTTATCATGTCGTCGTGTCGTTTGATTCTCTACCTCCCCCGCTCTTCCTTCTCGTCATCATCTCCTGTGCGTTACAGATCGGAGACGAGACGTTCATCATCGCTGCCCTCATGGCCATGCGCCATCCGCGCAGCATTGTGCTCGCTGGAGCGCTCTCAGCTCTTGGGATCATGACGGTGAGTCGCTGGCTAGTGTGTGGTATCTTGGAGATGTCGTTTGGTCTAGTGATCGCATGGTCATGGCCACATGGCTCTCAGTTTCGGAACATGTCAAAACTCTTGGAATCATGACGGTGAGTTGTCAGTATCTGGTATCGGGACGGGGACATGTAGTTAGTGATATCATGCTCAACTTTGGAGGAGCATGGCTACATGGCAGCGAGCTGTGGAACGTGTCGAATCTCTTGGGATCATGAATCTCTTGGGATCATGATGGTGAGGTGCCCATGTGTGGTATGGTGGAGATGTCGCTCGTGATCACATGGTCAGTTTGTGCCAGCTGCATGGCTGCATGGCAGCGTTTCCCCTTCCTTTTCTCCTGTGCGTTTCTCCTCAAAATGCCCGTTCATTCTTCTTTACCCCCTGTGTGCAGGCCCTATTCAATAGTTCACGTCCCTTAGCTCCCATCTTTCCCATCAATCTGCTGTTCCCCCGCCACCTCACCCTGTTCCATGCCTCTCTTGTTCATCCGCCATACACAGGTCTTATCCACAGGTCTGGGCCTCATAATGCCCAACCACCCCGTTTCCTGTTTCCGCCCCCCTGCTCCGTGTCGCTCTCGTCTGCCCGCCATACACAATACAGGTGCTATCCACGGGTCTGGGCCTCATCGTGCCCAACCTTATTTCCAGAAAGGCCACCAACAGTGCTGCCACGGGTGAGTCAGGGTGTAGTGAGTCGAGTTTTGAGTCGATTAAAATTGTGAGTCGAGTTTTGAGTCGACTCAAAACTCGACTCACGGGACTGGGTCTCATAGTGCCCAACCTCATTTCCAGAAAGGCCACCAACAGTGCTGCCACGGGTGAGTCTGGGCCTCTTCTGGAAATGAGGTTGGGCGAAATGTCTAGTTTGCATCAGAAAAGAGTAGTGAGAAGGGCGAGGAAAATAAAAAAAAGCGTGGACTGTATTTGTACGTCAATTTTTTGTCAATTCAGCCCCTCAGTGCCGCACCATTGGCCTCATGTTTTCTGCGTGTCAGTGTCCCCTTTCACCCATGTCAACCCCATCATCCTCCGCACTCCCATCACTCCCACGCCCCCCCGGTTCTGTACACCTTCTTTGGCCTGCGTCTGCTGGACATCGCATGGAGGGCAGAGCTCAGACCCCCAAGCACGGAGTGCACGAGACCATTCACTCCACTCGCTCTGTGACTTGCCACCAACCCCACCACCCACACTCCCCCCTCCCCCCCTCCCCTCTCTCTCCCCCCCTCCCCCCCTCCCCCCATGCAGTGCTGTACACCTTCTTTGGCCTCCGTCTGCTGTACATTGCGTGGAGGGCAGACCCCAAGGAGTCTGCTGCCAAGGAAATGGAGGAGGTGGGTGCGATTGTTGATGTTTCAGGTTTTGCAAGACACTTCAATGTTAAGGTCTCTTTTTTGGAATAATGTCACAGTTTCAGTGAATTGTGCTTGCTGAATGGCAGCGTTTGTTTCATCTGAGAGTTCAGAGAAATTTCTCAGCATTGTGAAATCCTCCTCCTCTTCCTCCTCTCTGTGTGGTTGGAGCAGGTAGAGGAGAAGCTGGAAAGCGAGGAGAATGACAAGGGCAGGCACAGAGGCATTCGCAAGTTCTTTGCTGGCTTCTGCACACCTGTATTCCTTGAGGTCAGTGAACCCTTTACCCCTGTTGTTTTCTCCCGTTTTGCTCCTTCCATTCGTGTTTCTTTCCTAATCCACCAAGGGCTTTAACAGTGTCTCACCGTCCACCCATCTTTGCAATCCGCTTCACTTCGCCCGTCGTGCATGGCTGTTCACCCGTCAGTGCTGTTTGCCGCTTCTGCTGCTGGCCCATCACTAGCACACATTCCATCCTCACTTCTACACATGGTCTTCCTTCCCTCCTCCCCTCCACCTGCCAGGCCTTCATCCTCACTTTTCTCGCAGAGTGGGGCGATCGCAGCCAAATCGCTACCATTGCTGTAAGTCTCGTTGGGAGAGGATAGAGTTTCTTCTGCGGACCAACCTCCGGTTTATGCACTGAGTTCAACCGATGGAGGGGGACAGTCCGAGGATCTTGAGTTGGAACGGGGACGAGAGGGGTTTTCAGCAACAGAGTTCTGTGCGTGGGAGAGGATACCTAGGCGTCTCATAAGTCGTATCCAGACGAAGTAGGTGTTTGTGGATTTGATGTGGCGTGAAAATGTAGTACAAACGGAGTGTTGTGTTTGGGGGAGTTATGAACATATTCATCTCCCTCTTTACTTCCATCCCACACTGTGCAGCTGGCAGCACACAAGGACGCCTTCGGAGTGACGGTGGGGGCGACAGTGGGCCATGTGGTATGCTCTACCATTGCAGTGGTGGGCAGTTGGTGGCCGGCAGGCAGATTCTCTGACGTCCTAATTACTCCCCTCCCACCCCCACGCCCCTGCCCATTCTATCCCTCCCTTTCGTCCCACACTGTGCAGCTGGCAGCACACAAGAATGCCTTGGGAGTGACAGTGGGGGCAACACTGGGCCACGTTGTGTGCACCATTATTGCAGTGGTGGGCCGCAGACTAGTTTCCTGGTGTTTAAAATGCTCCTCCCCAACTCCCGCGCCTTGTCTGTCTCTTCCCCCCCTTGCGCACATGCAGCTGGCAGCACACAAGAACGCCTTGGGAGTGACAGTGGGTGCGACGCTGGGCCATGTGGTCTGCACCACCATTGCAGTGGTGGGTGGCAGACTGCTTGCCTTGCGTATCTCGCAGCGCACTGTAGCTATGATGGGAGGAGCACTGTTCCTCATATTCGCCGTCCACTCTTACTACTCCCCTATAGAGTAACTGTAAGGTGTTTGTGGGCAAGCGTTTTGAATGGCAAGGCTTCCCTAGTAACTTTTATGTTGTGATGCTGAAGTTGCTTCTAATGTACGGTAGGTGTTCTCAGCAGCTTATGTACGGTTCAGTCTATGTAATGCTATATGATCTGGTTATTTTCCACCAAACGTGTTTCACACCACTTGGGATGCTGAAGTATGGGTTGCTCGGTCTACAGTGTACTCATCCAAAAGTCACGCTCCCTACTGTCACAAGACTGAGCTTGACCAATTGTCCCCTGATGAGTCCTCGATCCCAATGTTGCAGGACCACCTCAGCTCATCGGCGTGCGCTGGACACAGTTTCGCTTCTCTGATTGGTTGGATGTTTTCCCGCGATCTTGTCGAACACGCTCAGCACGTGGTCCCGCTTCGATCGATCGCCCTGAGATCGCTCGTTGCAGCGGAGGATTTGAACGCGGCTGTGTAGAGTGCGATGAAATCAGCGGGGTTATAGTGCGGTGGACAAACTTGGCGGCTCTTCTCGATTTCGCGAGAGCGATCTCACGCACGCACGCACTCTTCAGTTTTCATTATCATCTGTTTTGATAATGTCTAATGATTGTCGCCTGGCCCAGTCCTGGCCGGAGTGGTTGGTGGTAGGCTGGTAGCTGCCGACAGCACAGCTTGCTGCTGAACACTTTTCGTCAGGCTGGTTTCCTTATTCTGTTTTCTCTTTAGTATTTCCGCCGCGCGTTTCTTTCCGGAAAGCCGTTTATCCGCTCGGTTATCCGTGCCAAGTGCAGATGTCGTTGCGCGCTCGCCTCACCGCGCGCGGCTTACGTTAAGCTTGGAGTTTTCTTTGTCTCTTTCCGTCTGAATTCGCATGGTCTGCATGGACGTGCATCTTCCGCCGCACGTTCTTTCGGAACGGCTGGACGGCTCGCACACGGTCGTCAGAAGCGTTCATGGATCCTCGATCCGTAGACCGAAAGGGTTTATCAGGCTGTCCCTTGGCTTTCAACTCTCTGGTCCAAAAGGTAGCGAAGCGGATGTCAGGGCTAGGGTAAACAGCTATTCTTGGACTTTAACGAAAGCTCGTCGCAAGTCTTTGACCAGGCAAGCTACCCCCGCTCACGCACGACGGTGCGTTGTGACATTCGCGTTACAGCACTCTTCGTTAGCGGCAAGCGCGAGCTCGGAACACGACTCAGCCGAGCAAACCGATCCGGGGTTGCTATGGGATTTCTCCTTCGATTCCGACGAGGACGACGGGCCGCTACCAGAAGCCTCGTCGCGCTGCTTGCTGCACGCCTTCTCGTGGTCTTCGCATGAATCGGGAGGAGGAGGCATCAACGGCAGGTGGTATGACGTGTTGGCGGAACGAGTGGGTGATTTCAAGGCGATGGGCTTTTCGGACCTCGTTTTCCCGCCCTGCTGCAAGGCTGCTGATGGACCAGGTGAATCTTCATGTCGGGTTTATCTTCATGTCAGGTGAATTTTCAGGTCAGGTGATTCTTCATGTTAGGTGAATCCATGTTGGTTGATACTTCTTGTCACATGAATAGACATGTCAGGTACATTGGTCAATCATATTAGAGGCTTAGCTCCATATAAACAACCAATCTCAAAGTATATCTTTCTCTGTCTTATGCAGGTTTCTCCCCAGTGGACTTTTACGACCTCAATAGCGCGTACGGAACAGAGGCCAGCCTGCGGAAGCTGCTGACGCAGCTGCACGCAGCAGGGCTGGGCGCGTGCCTGCACGTGGTGGTGAACCGGATGGGCGGATGGGGTGATACGAGCGGATCGGAGCAGCAGCAACAGCAACAGCAGATGGGGGGAGCGGGCGGGGTGCCGCCGGGAGTGGGTCCCGGCGAGCCAGGGCTGTCGGAGTGGACCCGACTCACCAACACTGTAGACGAGGTGAGTGGGTCGCCTCTTGGTTTTTCAAAGCACGATGCACACTTCCTGGACCCTCCTGCCCACTTGCCCAAACCCTCCCTTTCCGCAACCATCCGTCATTGTGTTGTTGGTGTGGAACCGACTCACCAACACGGTGGACGGGGTGGGTGAGAGGGCCCCATGCTAGTTACATCATTCCAAGGTACTATGCGTCTTCTCGTCTTGCCCGCCCTCCCAGACCCATGTCTTCATTCCATGCATCCAGTCGGAAGTTTGGCGGCATTTCAACATTGCAACATCCCTCCCAGCATTCCAGCTTCCCTCCTCGCACTCCCTTCTCCCTTCCCTTTCAACCTGCAACCCTGTCCATGCCCGCTGTCCAGCCAGCAGTGTGGAGGCAAGGCGAGCATTTTGACACGTCTCAAAACACTCCTTTTTTCACGTGCCTTCTCCCTTTCCTTTCAACCTGCAACCCTGTCCATGCCCGCTGTCCAGCCTGCAGTGTGGCGGCAGGGCGAGCAAGAGGGCATTGACGTGCAGGCAGGGGGGCGGAGGAGCAGCGTGATGGACCATGGAAACCCGGCAGTGGAGGAGGACTGTAAGGGGTGGCTGCGATGGTTGCGATACGATGTTGGCTTTGATGTGAGTGACATTATTCAATGTGAGTGATAGCTACGAGCACTGTTGTGTATACTCTTTTTACAAGCACGCCAACATCTGTGACCAACTTCTCATGTTAGTAACCTCCGGAAGCAATAGCGTCTCTTGTAGAAAACACATGTGTGACATTGTAACAAGGGGAAATTAAAGTTGACTCGAAAAGGGGTAAGCGCAGGGGGGCATTGTGAGTGAGGGGAGGACCGAGTCTACCAAAACGCACTTCTTTTCCTCACGCGTCTTATTATGCAAATCCGGTCTCTGCCGTTTAGTTTCCTTAATAATAACATTGATGTGTTTGTCGATCCCCTAATTGTTTATCCTCGTCGTAGTATGGCCGTACTGGTACTGAAAGGTTCATGTTGCTTTTGACGTCGCTCCATGCAGACTACTCGTGTGCAATATGGTGACTCGGCCTCTCACCTCTCACCTCTCACCTCTCACCTCTCACCTCTCCCAGAACTCTCATTTCATTCTGCCATGCTGCCCCTGCCATGGCCCCCCTACTGTGTTTCCGCTGCTCCGCTCATCTTTTCTCCCTTGCAGGCATGGTGTTTCGACCTCGCACGTGCATTCGATCCTGCAGTTGCCCACTCGTGAGTCACTCACTCCTCTCGTACCTAACCACACCCTCCAGCATTGTCCCACGCCGAACCAAGCCTCTACACCCCCAGGATTTTCCCAACCAGGTCAACTTTCCGGAACATTCTTGGCTGCCTGTGTCGCTGTGCCTCATAGGATGCCTGTGCCTTGACCAATCCCCCCGGCCATAGGCACTCGGTGCAGGTACTGCTGGGATACGAGCCCTACGTTTGCAGTCGCTGATGTGTGGACGGAGATGCGGTACCAGGGCAGCACTCTCGAATACGATCAAGGTGAGCTGGTTGACTTTTTGTTTCGTTCTTTCCTTTTTTTTCAGCTGATTATAGTCATTGTCAGGTTACAACTGTGTCAGTCAGCTGACTGTAACAGCCTGAGTGGCTGCATTGTTAGTCTACATCCGTGCTTTGTTTTCCTGCACATGCCACTCTCCCTCTCTGCCCCCTGCAGACGCGCATCCAGCACTGATTGCTGACTGGGTGAAGGCAGCGCGGGGCACACCTCACATGATCATCTTTCTCATCACTCTACATCCGTGCTTTCTTGGGAATCACTTTTGAGAATTCTCGAAAATCATCCGTGCTTTCTTGTCCTGTACGCGCCACTCTTCTGCACATGCCACTCTCCCTCTCTGTCCTCTGCAGACGCGCATCGAGCACTGCTCGCTGACTGGGTGAAGGCAGCGCGAGGCACACCTCACATGATTGACTACACCACAAAGGTAGAACCAAACGCTGTTGTACTGTATTGCATCACATGAAGCGCAAGTAGCATTCTCTATCATCGACTAAATACACAGATAATCACTCCATTGCGTTGTGTGGATAACAAATCCATGGACGTTTATTTGCACAAGTCACGGAAACCCCTCTGCCATTCTCCCCGTGTTGACCCTCGTTCACCCTCGTTGACCCTCGTTGACTCGATGCACCCCAAGGACTGTCCATCATCTTTCGGAGCACATCCAGGGCACACAGCAGGTAGGCAGCACAGCTACTTCTGACACCTCGTGGACCCCCGGTTGACCCCCATTGATGGTCGTTCAACCCCTCCCTCCTCACCCTCCCCAACCCCTGCATGCTGCCCCTGACTCCCAGGGCATGCTGCAGGCGGCAGTGACTTTTGAGTCGACTCAAAGGTCACCCTGCATGCCCCTGACTCCCAGGGCATGCTGCAGGCGGCAGTGACTTTTGAGTCGACTCAAAGGTCACCCTGCATGCCCCTGACTCCCAGGGAATGCTGCAGGCGGCAGTGACTTTTGAGTCGACTCAAAGGTCACCCTGCATGCCCCTGACTCCCAGGGCATGCTGCAGGCGGCAGTGACTTTTGAGTCGACTCAAAGGTCACCCTGCATGCCCCTGACTCCCAGGGAATGCTGCAGGCGGCAGTGACTTTTGAGTCGACTCAAAGGTCACCCTGCATGCCCCTGACTCCCAGGGCATGCTGCAGGCGGCAGTGACTTTTGAGTCGACTCAAAGGTCACCCTGCATGCCCCTGACTCCCAGGGCATGCTGCAGGCGGCAGTGCAGTGTTGCGAGTACTGGCGCCTGACAGATACTCCTCATAGACCCCCCATGGACCCACATTGCCCCCCACTCACTGTGATTCAACCCCTCCTCACCCCTTGCCACCTCCATGCCTCTGTCTCCCATGGCATACTGCAGGCAGCAGTGCAGCACTGCGAGTGATGGCGCCTCATAGAACCATATGTACCCCATTGTCCGCAATTCAACCCCTCCTCACCCCTCTCCACCCCCTCCATCTGTCCCCCAGGACATGCTGCAGACAGCGGTGCAGCACTGCGAGCACTGGCGCCTGACAGACCCTGATGGACCACCTTCGACCTATTTTTAATGTGGTTCAACCCCTCTACACCCCTCCCCACCCCTCCATGCCTCTGTCCCCCAGGGCATACTGCAGGCGGCAGTGCAGAACTGCGAGTACTGGCGACTCATTGACCCCCAGGGCAGGCCTCCCGGTCTCATCGGCTTGCTGCCTGGCAAGGTGCGTGAGAGCATGCACGTGTATGAAGATTGGTTTTGAGACGTCTCAAAGGCAAGGTGCGTGAGAGCATGCACGTGTATGAAGATTGGTTTTGAGACGTCTCAAAGGCAAGGTGCGTGAGAGCATGCACGTGTATGAAGATTGGTTTTGAGACGTCTCAAAGGCAAGGTGCGTGAGAGCATGCACGTGTATGAAGATTGGTTTTGAGACGTCTCAAAGGCAAGGTGCGTGAGAGCATGCACGTGTATGAAGATTGGTTTTGAGACGTCTCAAAGGCAAGGTGCGTGAGAGCATGCACGTGTATGAAGATTGGTTTTGAGACGTCTCAAAGGCAAGGTGCGTGAGAGCATGCACGTGTATGAAGATTGGTTTTGAGACGTCTCAAAGGCAAGGTGCGTGAGAGCATGCACGTGTATGAAGATTGGTTTTGAGACGTCTCAAAGGCAAGGTGCGTGAGAGTAGGCATGCTACTACACAGTGAGCGGTAACCTCCCTGAAGTTGGCAGCGTGCCAAAAGTACTTGTGAGTCGACTTAGAAGTCTTTTCCCCCTTCTATTCCCCTTCTCTCCCCCCCGCGCCCTTCACCAGGCAGTCATCTTCATTGACTACCACCCCACTGGCTTTCTTGCTCCCATGCATCTCCATCCTCCCGTTCTCACTCCTCTCCCTTCCCGCCCCCTCCTCCCCCCTCCTGCCACCCACCTCCTCCTCTCCCGCCCTTTGACAGGCAGTCACGTTCGTGGACAATCACTCCACGGGCTCCACACAGCAGCACCTCATGCCTTCCCACCCCGCCCGTTCTCTCCCCCCTGTGCATGCTTCCTTTCCCCCCGGCCCAACACCAGGCAGTCACGTTCGTGGACAATCACTCCACGGGCTCCACACAGCAGCACCTCATGCCTCCCCACCCCGCCCGTTCTCTCCGCCCCGCGCATGCTTCCTTTCCCCCCGGCCCAACACCAGGCAGTCACGTTCGTGGACAATCACTCCACGGGCTCCACACAGCAGCACCTCATGCCTCCCCACCCCGCCCGTTCTCTCCGCCCCGCGCATGCTTCCTTTCCCCCCGGCCCAACACCAGGCAGTCACGTTCGTGGACAATCACTCCACGGGCTCCACACAGCAGCACTGGCCATTCCCCGCCTGGGGGGTCACTCTGGGGTGAGAGGGGAGGGAACCTGGGAAGGGCGGGGGCAAGGCTGGGATAGGTATAGTGAGGCTGAGATGAGGGAAGGTAGGCTGGGGCATGAAGACAATCACTCCACAGGCTCCTCACAGCAACGCTGGCCCTTCCCTTCATGGGAGGTCACTCTCGGGTGAGATGTAAGAGAGGGCTTTGGCCAAGCTGGGATGTGGGGGTGGGGAGGTAGGGAGGCTGGGATGGGGGGGATTGACTGGGACATGAAGCCAGCCAATCAGTCCTCAAGCTCCATGCAGCAGTGTTGGCCGTTTCCAGCGTGGGGATTCATTCTCGAAGCAGGGCGGGATGAAGGTGGTTGGCAATGGGTGGAATAGGGTGGGATACGGTGGGATAGGCTGTGGTATGGTGGCCATGGAGGTCGTCGTGGTTACTGTAGTCAGGAACCCCGAGAGTACAATATGGCTGTTTGGTAAACCGCACGTTCTTGCTTCCGAATTCGTTTGGGGTACTTGCTGCTTCTTCTGCCTCGTGTTTCTGAATCGGTGCTCTCGTGTCATCTCACTACTCTTCCAGTAAAGGAGGTTCGCGTTCTCCCACGCAAGTGCGAGTTTTTTCAGGGATGCTTTGGCTCACTTGTTGCGTTCCGCACCTCCCACCCTTCCCTCACCCCCCCACATTTCCTGCACCCCCTCCCTCACCCTTCCTGCACTCAAACCCCTCCCTCACCCTTCCGCTGTGCAGCTACGTGTACATTCTGACCCACCCGGGTGTGCCGTGTGTGTTCATTGACCATCTCTATGAGTGGAACCTCAAGGTCAGTGCTTTCTTCAGCTTCCTCAGCAGAACCATCCACTACTCGTGGTGCCCCTTCCACAATTCATTTCTGCCTTGCAAACTGACACGACGAGAAGAAGACACACACACACACAAAAAAAAAAAAAAAAATCTTCTCATTTCCACAATCTTTTGTCCCCCATCCACGATCCCATCATCGCAGGACCCAATTCAGAAGCTGCTGGTGATCCGGCAGCGCAACGGCATTACATCGAGGAGCGCCATCCGCATCATGACGTGCAGCACGCAGCTCTATGTGGCGCGCATCGGCACCAACGTGGATGATGACAGGCTGTTCCGCGGGGTCGTTGTGAAGCTTGGACCTTCTTTTGACATGCACGGGACTGCACCAGGTACATGAGTGTGTATGTTTTTTGTTTTTGTGGGTCACTGTGAGCGTTAGTGTGTATGTGGCATCACAGCGCCATCTCAACCACATCACATAAAAAACCTCCTGCATCGTCGTGAGCAACACACGGCTATATGTGCTATATGTGGGGCGCATCGGCGCATGTAGAGGATGGAAAGGCATTTCAAGGCATTCTAAGGCATTCCAAGGAGTCAGTGTGAAGCTCGGGCCGTCGTTTGGCATGCTTGGGACTGCACCAGTTACTGTGGTTCAGCATGGGTCACTGTGGATCACTGTGGTAAGCTGTATACTACGCTGCCTATTGTTTGTCTTCATTGTTTACTGGTTCGGATGCTGGGGATGAGGAGAGGCTGTTTAATGGAGATAGCACCAGGTACTGTACATCACAGAAAGATGGTGCTTCTCTGAAAAGTTGTGGTTTTGTCCGATTTAAACATGAAGAGAAGGCTGAAGATGCACCTCCCCTCCCCCCTCCCTCCCTGTGCAGATTCGTCTTGGCAGATAGCCATGTCAGGTCATGACTTCTGCATATGGGAAAAGAACCCTGAAGTGCAGTGACTAGGCGTAGCCATAACTAGCGGGACAGGCCTCTAGTTTGTGATGCTTCATGATGTTTGTTGTGGTGTAGAAAGTTATTTCGCACTGCCTGCTGTTGGACATACACAGGAAAGTCAGCATATGCTATGCAGGAAGAATCCCCTTGTCCTGTGCACTAGCTGCTGCTCCTCTGTCTGGAACAATTGTGCCATTCTTTTTAGAGGGCGCGTTTGACAGCTCCATAAGAGCAGAATACAAATGGTTGCGGCGGTGGTTGAAATCATTCAGGTTAGTGAGGCGCCAAATGCGGCAGCTGTAACGAGTGCGGTTCGCAGCTGGCATGTGCCACGCATTTTGAACTGTACTGTACCCTCTCCACCTCTCCCACCGCACCTCCCGCCCATCCACACCAACTGAATGGATGTCGGCAGCAGGCCACTCTCGTGGTGAGTCGACGTGGCGTTTCATGCTGTCCACGTCCTGCTTTCGCAATGTTTGGCGTTGACCAGCTTTGCCGTTGACCCAGTGGGTTCTGCTGCCAGAAGCGGAAATACCAAAAGAAAAACAGTGGAAAGTTGTACCCTCGCCTACACTCCGCACTGGTCTTTGGTGGTGCTTGGTTTCATCAAATTCCAGCCTGGCATTTGTACACCCTTCGGCTGGTTCCACAGCTGCAGATGACTGGTCGACGTCAGCGCTGCCACAATGTTTCTTCGAACGAAACGGTAACCAAATCCGCGGATCGTGTCGCAACATCGATCGAAATGAGAATCGCGGCCCGTGCTTTGGAAATTGCGGCGGTGTGGAAACATTCCTCGAAGGCACATGGCACACGGACTGACCTCCTCTTCCTCTGATGAGACGACATCTCTTGACTCGACTTGTCTCAACTCAACTAAACTCAGCAAGTGTCTTTCCATAAAACGTAGCTCTCTCAAACCTCCAACACAGATTATTTGTGCAACTCCAACTTAACCAACATTAGTCGGTGCAATTTCATACCAATCCAGTGACCAGAGCTGTTGAAGCCCTCTTGAGCTACTTCGAATCTGACGTGACATTACCCAGCGAGATATTTATATGCACAATAGCCGTTTTCCGTTTTCCTTTTATCCACGCGCTTGTCTGCTCCATCGTCCTGGTGCTGCTTACAACCACCCAGGCTCTTCCAGACGGCGAGTTAGCGTCGCTTATCAACAGCCGACGATCTCTAGTGGGGAAGAAGCTCCAATGCCCCAGCGGCGCGGGAATCTGTCCGTACAGGAGCCTCACAACATGCAGCCAGCCTCCCATTTGTGAAAACTTAGAAGAGAGAAGAGGGCTGCACTAGCAAGAATGGGGATACAAATAGGAAACCCTAGAAGGGTTGTACTCGCTATAGAGCACCCCAGTACAGGCTAGAGCATAAGATGACATTCTGACACACCCCCATAGCCAAAGTGGGGTGTAATCAACAGAGCAAGCAAAGCAGTACAAGCTCAGGGTGGATCACAATGTCACCACACATTCTGAGCACAAGTTCAAGAAGCAATAGGTTAAAGTTCACAATTATAAGCAAAGCTAGTGGTAGTCACAACGGGCAAGTGAGGAGGAGGAGAGAGAGTGAGAGGAGAGGAGATAGGAGGCGACGGATGAAGCTGCAGACACACGGGCAATAGGAGGCACACTGGCACAGCGGCTACCGGAACAACGCTCCGGAATACTGGAGTAACTGGCCCCGCGGCTAAAGTAGCGGCAGACGAGCAACGGACCCACGGGCGGCTGGCATAGCTGGCTACGACTGGGCTACCGGAGCAACTCCCCGGAATACAGGTGCTGCTGGCGACACGACGGCAACCTCCATTCAGCTTCCCGAAACTATCCCACTCCCCCCTGGCACACACCCGCTGCTACACCGCTAGCTCCACTCCCCCTTCACCCCCCCATAGTATCACTCGACCGGCTCCAACACGTCCACCCCCCCTCAGCGACAGCTGCAGCACAGGGAGACGGAGGAGGAAGAGGAGGAGCAGGGGAGACCACACACCCGCCACCCCCCAGGTCGCGGTCCCCGAAGGAGCCGCGACGGGCGACGGGAAAAGGGGGGGGGGGGGGGGGGGGGGGGCGGTGCGCGTGCCGTAGGTAGGGCGACGGGGCCGGGCCGTAGGTAGGGCGCCGGGGCCAATACGCAGGTAGGGCGGTGGGGCCGGGGCGCAGGTAGGGCGACGGGGCCGGGGTCGGAGGTGGGGCGACGGGGCCGGGGTCGCAGGTAGGGCGACGGGGCCGGGGCGCAGGTAGGGCGACGGGGCTAGGGCCGGGGCCGCAGGTATGGCGACGGGACCGGGGTCGCAGGTGGGGCGACGGGGCCGGGGTCGCACGCAGGGCGACGGGGCCGGGGCGCAGGTGGGGCGACGGGGCCGGGGTCGCACGCAGGGCGACGGGGCCGGGGCGCAGGTAGGGCGACGGGGCCGGGGCCGTAGGTAGGGCGACGGGGTGCGACGCGCGGGTCCCCGTCGCCCGTCGCAGCGCCTCCCGGGGGCGACGCGCCGAGTGACGGGGCAGAAACCCGTCGCGCGCCTCGGGGCGCACGGCGGGCAGAAAACCGCCGCGCGCCTCGGGGCGCACAGCGGGAAGAAGAAGAAAAAAAAACTGCCGCACGCCACGGGGCGTGCGGCACAGAGAGTAGCAGTAGCTGTTGCAGCGGAAGCAACGGGGTGGTGAGCCCACCCACAGGATCGATCCAAGGGGATCGACCTGCTCTGATACCATGTGAAAACTTAGAAGAGAGAAGAGGGCTGCACTAGCAAGAATGGGGATACAAATAGGAAACCCTAGAAGGGTTGTACTCGCTATAGAGCACCCCACTATAGGCTAGAGCATAAGATGACATTCTGACACCATTTACTGCTCTGGCGCCTGCTGCATTGTAAGTGCCACTGATTTTCAGCATAAAACTCTGTCTAGTAGAGCATTTGGATTCTACAACGCCTTGGGGTTTGTTTTTCATCTTTTTCGTTGTTCATTTTTTTCTTCCTGAACTATTATCGATCTTATCGCGTGATGCACTAACACAACTTTGTTTGCTCTCATCTTCTCACACAAACGTGAAAAAATCCCGGCAGAACAACATGGAGTGTTGGAGATTGAGTGTGTTGCAAGCAAGTGGTGGTGGGGTGGTTGTATGCCCCCAACCCACCGAATGTGTTGCTTCTACCTGACTTCACTACAGGTTTCGTGAAGTTGCAGATTGACTTCGAGAGACTTGCACTTCGGTGCCACATGGCAGCACAAGAAGAATCGAGACTCAGGAAGAATTTGATTCGGTGAAATTCGAGAGTCGAATTTCACCCCTTCGAAATGTTACTCGAACATTCGAGTGTTCCGCGGTTCGAGGTTACTTGTGCGATTCGATCTTGTTTGCATGCTATAAATCTGTTTTCTTTGTATTGCATGCCATCATACTAGAAAACGTGAATAATTTTACACAGTGCATTCGAACACAAATTCCAGAGAGTTTCTATACTTGCATTCAAGAGCACCACCTAGCACGTGAACGCCTATATCTCGGCGAATGCTTAGGCGATTGACGTACTTGATGGCTTGTTGGAAAGCTAAGACAGAGCTCTATTGCTTAGAACATTTCCCAATTCCTGCCAACTAGAGGAAAGACCTCTACAACATGGAGTACCCGTGCTGCGGAGGAATCATGTGCTGCAAGGCGGGCGCGTGCATGAAGAAAAACGGCTCGTATGCCTGCTGCCCCATCGGGACCAAGGCATGCGGGGTCGGTAAATGCTGCCCGAGTGCATAGGATTTAAACCAATTAACAGCTAAAATGAGAGGAAGGGTTTCATACTTGCCGCTTCATCAGGACCACAGCTCGTGGATCCAGCTAGTGCTTGTTATTAGGGTTGTAAATTCTGGTACATCTTTGACTTCTTATAGTAAACAATAGTACAAGCTTGTTCTCAGCACATCTATTAGATACCTAGATTCAGCTAAACCTTTTCGGGGGCCCAAATCAAACCGAAAGTATGTCAACGCCCCTACCTCTCGAAAAGCACAAAGTGGGGCTATTACATTCTGGGATCATATAAAAACACGAGGACAAATTGGTGAGCATCAATTACAGGATACCGAAAGGGGTTAGATGGTAATGTGGGAATATGTCTTATGCGTGTAAAGAAGCTGGCCAAAGGGGCACACCTCCCATTCAGTAGGTGGAAGCTCCTGTCCACAATCACACTGCCCAATCGGATCTCTGTGTTTAGTGCGTCCAGATTGAGCGCCACATCAAAGAGAGAGGGCAGAGCGACATGCAGATGTCCTTGTAGACCCTGCCCCATATCTAGCTTGGAGTCCACCAGCTAGTTGGATTGAGAGATGAAATGGGGTTTTAAGTCAAGAATGGAAGTTTATCAAATAGTTGTGAACATTTGGTTGTGTGTGTGTGCACGCGCACGCGCGAGCGCGTGCGTGCGTGTGTGTGTGTGTGTGTGGGTGCGTGCATGCGCACGCGCGCGCGCGTGTGTGTGTGTGCGTGTGTGTGTATGTGTGTGTGCGCGTTGATGTAGAGGCGTCTCCTCTACTTTGCAGGAACTCTAAGTTGTACTAAACGATAGAGCACAGTCTCGGCTTTCCAACGAGCCGTCAAACACGTTAATCGCCCAAGTTTACGCCGAGATATTGGCGTTCATGTGATTGCTAGTGCTCTTAGAAGCAAGGATATACCTCTCTGGAATTTGGTGTTCGAATGGACCATGTACAAGATGATTCATGTTTTCAATATGACTCATGCATACAAAACAATCACAATTTATAGCAACTCAATTACATTGAACCGCATGTGTAACATCGAGTCGCTACATTTTGACAAAAGTTAGAAGAAGAAAAAGGGTTGAACTAGCAGAAATGGGGATACAAATAGCAAACCCTAGAAGGGTTGTACTCGCTATAGAGCACCCCACTACAGGCTAGAACAATAAGATAATATTCTGACACACCTCCATAGCCAAAGTTGGGTGTAATCAGCAGAGCAGGCA